TATAATAACATGTGATCATGAATAATGATTAATGATAATGAATCAAGTGACTGTCAATAATTGTTTCTTACAAATACATACATACTTTTATAGCTCTTTCTCGTGATACATTGTATGCTGGAATGATGTACTATGATAAGAAAGAAGTTGGTCATTGGAAAGCTATGTATTCTGTTGTTAGAGATTTGGAAGTTCTTAAAAGGGTAAAGTATTATTATACATGTACATGTACACACATACATAATATATATTTTGGTTGATTAGAGTTGTTGTATTTATGTTCATGTAGTATTTAGAGAGCAAGCATACGTCAGTTGAATATGATGATATTGCTGACTATTTTAAGTTTATTCAACCAAATGGAACACTCAAATTGACTCTGCAAAAAACTCAACTGCAGTTAGGATGGACTGTTAATCCTGATAGAGAACCAATGGAAGTATGTGTCCATATAAAGTCAAATCATGCAATATTACTGTGTGTCTTTATTGTAGTTATGTCAGTCTACAATTGAGCATTTTTCATCATGTCCCTCTCCTTCATATGCAACATGTAGTATATCAGTGTATGCTAAACCTGGTATTGCTCAGGATCCACTTCATTGTCCTATTAAATTAACTGGAATAGATCCTTCAAAAATTGTCTACATCAACAAATCACCTGTTCTTCCTCCATCAATGAGTAAGTCAATGATAATTAAAATTAATTTTATTATACCTCATTTCACAGGTTCTACTACCTCCTCCTCCTCCTCCTCCTCTAATGTAGTACATGAATCAACATCAGTATCATCCACTGGAGGAGCTAGTAAGTGATAATACTGTGTGTATATACTGACCTTTGACCTCTGTTAGGTCCATCAGCTACTGTTGATGTCAATAAAGTAAAGAAAGTGATTGATGATGTTCTTGTATCTCATGATGCTGCTCTCAATTCTTTGCCTAAGAAAGGTCTTTCTGAACTTACTAGTCAGCTTTACACAGTTCGTCTGGTCAATAATGCAGTGAGACAAGCTCCTTCAATGAAAGAGTGCATTGATGAGTTCAAGGCTAGTCTTAGTTTTAAGAGGAAGTTGCCTAAAGTGGAGAAGCACTGTCAAAAGTTCTTAAACTCATTCATTGCTGTAAGAGGCAGTTATGCTGATGCAGCAGAAGCTTTAGGTGAGGACTGGATTGAAGCTATTAGGAATGAACTGGGACTTGATTTTAATATTAATATTGATGCTTAATATAATTGATTTGCATTGTCATTATTGCTTGTTTTAAATAATTTTTTAAAAAATATTAATTTGCGAAGAGTTTAACAATAATGTTATTAATTCCGAAGACAAACTAAACACACATGATGATAGTGTACATGTGTTCTGGTACTTGGGATTCTTTTGAGAGTGGAAACAACATCATCTGTATCTTGATATCAAGTGATCTTGAACAACCCTTGCTCTTATAGTAACCATGTAATAGGTCACCTAATAATAATAATAATAATAACAATAATTAACAATAATAATCAGCGTACATGTACATGTATAATCAGGAGTGATGTACATGTATATGTACATGTACATAGAAACAGACAGACAGTATTTGATAAACTGACTTGTCCTTCACCCAATTAATAAGTATAGACAGCAGAGGTTGCACGTCTACTGGAATTTTCGTGTACTTGTATTTACTTGTATTTTGAATAAGCAGGTCGTGTATGAACTTGTATTCAATGGCAAACTTTCGTGTATGTACATTTACTTATTGCTTCCCAACGGTCTATATTTTGGTGATTTTTCATTTACTTTTCATGTATCCTGTACTTAAATGTTGAATATTTGAAAGGATAATATCTTTACTACCTTTTCTATTGCTGTTTTCATCATCTGCTATTCCTAGAAGGACTAAAAAGACCATCAAAGATCCATGGTTAAGCAAACTAACTGCCATTTTGACTGCTACGTGGACACACCCTTTAATTATTAATAGTTAATATAAATACATGAAAATCGTCTCCTCAGACTCCGTCTACTCATTTTTGGTTCTTGTATATACTTGTATGTACTAGAAGACCTGTTTTTCGTCTAAATACTCGTGTATCGTGTATACACGTGCAATGTCTGATAGACAGTAATGAGTATACATTAGTCTTAAACCAGGCCCACCTGTTTGAACTTGTATGGGTTCATTGAGAAAGAATATCCTCTGATGCCAGTGAGTGGGTGTATCTTGTGGACTAGTACTGAAGTACACAGGATAAGAGGGAACCTCAAACCCAATGACAAAGTATCCAACAAGACCTTACAACATATTAATAATAAACCAGACCTTAGGGAACTTGTTACATGTACATGTACAACATTGATCAGTACTAAGTTACTAACTGCAGTGGCAATGCACTGAATGCATTTTGAGGGTTGAAATTTGTAAATCAGTCAAAAAGCTCAAAGACACAATAATTGGAGGTGATTTGGAACCACTTTTAAGAAATTGCCTCAGTTTCAAAATGGCCAAAACTCAATATGCATCAGAATTCAAAAAAACATAATTATGGTGACTTCGGAACCATTTTTCAGAAAAAAACCTTTGCTCTTCTTTAAAAATTTGCTCATTTTAAAAGTGCTCACAACTCAAAATTATTCATTGGAATCAGCTCAAATTTTCAACATAGCATAAGGACATCAATAGGCATCAAAAATTGTAATAAAAATTGGGGGTGACTTTAGGGCAATTTTTTGAAAAAACCATGGGCTATAGTACAGGGTGCTTTTCAGAAATGGCTGTTTTTTAGAAATGCTCATAACTTGAAAAATATTTGTCGGAAACAGCTCAAATTTTCCACACAGCATAAGAACATCAATATGTATCAGAAAATGTAATAAAAATTGGGGGTGATTTTGGAGCCATTTTTTAGAAAAAAGCATGGGCTAGCCTTGGTTATTTTTCAAAAATTGGCCTATTTCTAAAAGTGCTCTTAACTC